TTTTTTTTTTGGGTTTTGTTTTGTATTAATCTTATTTTACTTATTCTTGTTTCTCTCTTCCTTCTCTCATAGTGTTTCTTTTTTACATGGGCAATGAGCTGCTGAAAGATCAATATTTACTTATCCGATTATCGAATTTAACTCAATTCTACTCACAGAAATGCTTCAGGGGGAGAAAGGAGGTAGAGGCTGAACGCTGCAAAACCAGTGAAAAGTTTTTCTTGACTTATGGGCAGTATTGTCAACATGTCAATAGGTTATTTTATTCTTGAATTAAGTTTTGCAGCACTGCAGATGTCTATGCAGTTGTATCTTTGACTTTGGTAGTTTCTTGCTGATGGACTTCGTCCTATGTCTCATTACTGCATCTTATCATGTCCATATTCAGGCAGTGCTTTAGCCCAACTTCAAGTTTTCTCAGCCAGCTTATGTTCTTCTTTAACCCAAGATACATGGCTGATTTTTCTGCCCTTGTGGAGACGTGCCGATTGCTTCTTGAATTTGCTCATGATAACGGTGAGTTACTCGGTCACTTTACACTTCCTATGTTTATGTTGCAGATATGGTCACCAAGTTATTTATGAACATTATTGTGACTTGATTATTGTTAGCTGTGTCCTGTTGCTGCTATCTGGCAGGTCTCTTTTGCATCCTTGTGTTTTCTTTCTGTATCTTTCATTTGAAAAGTCTTTTACACCTGACATCCTTGCTCCTTGTACGTGATCTTCTTTATATTCGACAAGCTCAAGTGAGCACATGATTTTGTAAAAGATGTTTACTTCTAGGCTGAATTTGTTACTGTTGATGGATTGTTATCTGTCTTGGTGGCTTCTGTTTATGTTTGCTTTCAAGTGTTTACTTAATTTCATATTTTGCGGATAATATATTAATCTTGTTTTTCATTTGCCTACTGTTACAGCTGGGGACTTAGTGAGCCTATTTGCGGGCACGGATTACCCATCAAATTATGGTTTAGTGGAGTACCGGGTTAAGTGTCTTGCTTATGCGTGCATTAGTGCAATCTACGAAAATAGGTCTGTTTCTTGGGGGACGGAAGTCACTTATGGTTGTCCATTATGCATTTCATATTTCCACCGTCTCAAAATTTTGATCCGCATATTTAAAGTTCTATGCAAGTCAGAGTTTAAACTAAGGATTCCACATTCTATGGTGATTGATTATTGAATCAATCTCAGGTGGTTTCCTTTTTTAGATAACTTAATCCATGGATATAATAAAAGATACACATTTCTTATATGATCCTCCAATTATAAGGCTGGCCCATGTGCGATGGTTAGCCAATCGCTTATTGGTTATGAATCTTATCAATTTTGTTTTTGGCAGGAACCAGTTGAAAGATCAGTTATTGTCACCTGAAAAATCGAATCAATCCGCAAATGTCTTACTGGAGGCAATAATTTTGTTGATTGACCTGAGGCTCCCTTGGGCTTGTAACACGCTCTGCTATTTGTCACAAAGGAATATGTATTCCATGTTTAGAGAATTGATCCTTATGGGGAAGGTACTTCTTTAAGTGAAAAAAAATTCTTATTTATCCAATGATGCATACATGCAGAGGCTTGTCTCTGTATTTATCTTAATTTTGTGCTCATTTTCTTCTGCATAATACAACGTCCCTAACTTGAAAGTTTCCCGTCTCAAATATAGCATGCTTATCACTAATAAAATTTCCTTTTTTTGCAAGTTAGTGTTTGTTTTTGCGATACGAAGCTCTGAGAAAAATGAAAATTACTTTAAGATTGAATTATGAGGGGTTTGTATGGATTGAGATTTGGTCTTACTGATAGGTCAAAAGACGTGTGCGTGCAACCGCCACTTGATTATTTTTATTGCGAGCTTGAACTTTAGCAATCGTGGAATGTTAGTTAAACTCTTGTGGTTGATCTTTGTTGATTATCTTTTCTCTATACATAACATCAAGAGCATGTGTAACATTCAGCGCTCTTGCTTTCTTGAAATCTGCACATTCAGTATATAGAATTGCCTTTTATTTGATTGTCTTGTCATCTGATCTTAAGTTTATTTTCCATTATACATATCTCTGGTGATTGATTTGGGTCAATATGGTGTTTTTCGAATGCATTTCAAAAAGAGACTTGTGACTTAATGGTGGTTATTTCTGATGCTTTCAACACTCAGCTGCACGACTTATGTTTGCTCTCTAAGAACAAAATTGACATCCTTTAATTTACCTAGAAAAACATTCAAGGTTCTACTGTGATTCTCTCTACATTGGAGCGTGTTCTTGCCCAAATTATTGCTCACGTGGATCAGGCATCATGCACTTGTTCAAATGGTGATCCTAAATGGAGCTTCACATGCCAAATCCTTGCAATTCCTTTCCTGTGGCGGGTCTTTCCACACCTTAAAGAGGTACTTTTCAATGTCATGATTTTATTCTTCTCATAAGAAATGAATTTAATTTATTTGAATTCAGATGAATATGTCTTACTGTTAACTTCTGAAACGACAGATTTTGTGAATCTTAACCAATCTTACCTATACTATATACTTTCTATGTACTGAATGCTTATGATTGTAGATCGAATACTGTCCATAGAGCTGCAACCATTTTCTTATTGGATTTCCTATCTATAATCATGATTGTCACTAATTTTATTTTCATGTCCAGATGTTTGCTGCACCGGGGTTGTGTCAACACTATGTTCATCAGATGGCAGTATGTGTGAAAGATTATAAGAATTTCCTGCCAGCTGACGTATCAAGTGAATTTCCAAGTTATGCCTGCCTTTTAGGAAATCTGTTGGATGTTTCTTGTGTTGCTGTCACTCGGCCTGGTTCTTTGGCTTGGGTATAGGATTTTCTATCTGCTTCACATCCATGTGTTTACTGTACATAATTGATCTCACTGAATTGTCGACAGCTATAGTTTTATCTATCACTATTTTAGGCTCTCTCTTGGTTTGATGATTCTAAGCATTATATCTGTTGCTGATAAACTGATTTTTATTTCATTTATTGGGATTTTCTACCTTTTTTCATATCTAATGAACATTAAAGAAACATGGGTGTCAGGCATAATTCTGAATAGATAGTAATCTACTCTTTCGTGGATATGTTTTACTTCTCATCAAAATGTCCATTTGCTTAATGTGCCTTACATTATCTGATAGCTCTATGGTTTCCTCCTAGATTCATAGTTTAAAATGGCGACGCCATGGCGAGAGGCGACCGAGGCGAGGGGTCAACCGCCTCGCCATTGCCCAAGGGCCCTGTTTCCGGGGCACCCTCCTCAGGTCGCCTCGGCTCGCCTTTTCACGTGCGAGGCGCCTGTGAGGCGCGCATCAGCGCCTCTCTGTTTTGATAAAAAATACAAATTAAAATAGCAACATGTTTTTAACTATGTAAAGAGAAGACGTGAAACTAAAAGAAAAGAAACGGCTTGTTTAGCCTTTTTTCACAGACAAAAAACTGGGTTTTAGCTATGTGTGTGCCAAACGGGCTTGTTGCTTATTTCTAGTATTTAATTATGTGTGTGCCAAGCTTCATGTTTTATTTGTACTTTCCTGAGTGGTGTTTGTGCAATGGACTTGTGTTTCATTTGTGTTATTGCCTTTTTGGGATATTTTTATTTATTTTTTTATTTTTTTCTTTTTTTTTTTGTTTTTCGTGTCATGGCATGATGTTTTCAATTTATTAAAGGAAGGTTCGATTGAACAAACATATACAATTGCATCATTTATAATATTGTTTTTCTACATTTTGGTGGCATGTGTAGCCGAGGCCTCGCCATGGCGAATCGCCTTGCCTCGCCATTTAAAACTATACCTAGATTTCCTTGCTAATGTGCACTGTCAATTCTTCATAGATTTTTGATCCATTGTCAACATGCTATGATCTTTCTGTTCCGTAGTTTTCAAGCTGATAGAAGATGATTTATCATATATCAGCTCTCATTTTACGAATAGTGTGATGGTATATTTTCATGTCCGTTGGTTCCAAAGATGGTTGATAACGATTTATATTGTCAGGCTGTAGATTTTGCAAATGTTGCAGCATTTTTGTTGCAAGCACTTCCTCCTCTCGGAACGTCAAATGATGGCAGTAAAGGTGTGTCTACTTTTTTAACAGTGTATTTCACATGTATTTATATCCATGATAAACTCACCATACAATTTAGATACTTTTTAGTGAATCAAGATGTTCCTTTCATCGTGTTTTATCTTTGGGACCTACGTTTAGATTCTAAAGTCGGCGAAGATGAAATGATCACCAGTGATGAGATAACAGAAATAGGTGTAAATAGAGATCTTGAGCAGCAGATTTCCAATGCCTTAGATCCACGCTTTCTTTTACAATTGGTATGCAATTTTCTTCCATTGTTGCTGCAGGTCAAATATTATAATGTTTTTATGTGTAATCTTAAGAGTGTGGCTTTATGATTTCTTTATGCAGACAAATGTGCTGTTGGGAGGGCTTTCTATAAGTGGTTCAAGTAAAGGCAGGCCAGATTACAATGAGGTGGCTGCTGTTGCTGCAGCATGTTCTTTTCTGCATGTTACTTTTAACATGTTGCCTCTTGAGCGAATTATGACTGTGCTAGCATATAGGACTGAACTAGTTCCCATTCTATGGAACTTCATTAAGAGATGTCATGAGAATGATATGTGGTCTGCCTTGTCCGAGCAATCAGTTTATCTGTCCGTGGACACACCTGGTTGGCTACTACCCTTTGCCGCTTTTTGCCCTGTTTACAAGTAAGAATTATTTTTTAAAACTGTACATTCCAACAATCTATATATTTTATACCCTCTGTGCAAGTTAGATCATAAGTCAGGTTGAGATGATGGCCTTGATAATCTTTTCTGGATCAGGCATATGCTAATGATAGTTGATAATGAGGAGTTCTATGAACAGGAGAAGCCTCTCTCTCTAACGGACATCAGATTGTTAATTGTCATCTTACGACAGGTAAGTTCTCCACCATATGATCTATTATATCCAGTTAGGTTTGTTAAACTCTGCTTGGTAAAAAAATCCTTAAATCACTCTATATGTCCTAGAGTGAAGGTTTGATTATGACATTATGCATAATTTTTGTGGGCCATATTATCCCCTGCTGGTTCAACTAATATGCTCATGTGTTGTATCACGTGGATTTGCTTTTTGGTAGGCCTTGTGGCAGATTATTTGGCTCAATCCAAATGCAACTCCCAACTTCTCAAATTTGGCCGAAGGTCCTGCTGCTATGAAGAAGTACCCAAAAGAATTTCTCCAGCACAGGTTCTCCGTTGTTGCTTCTGAGCTCATGTCACAGGTACTTTACAGTTTACATACTAAGGTTCACAAATTTGATCATGCTCTTGAAATTGTACATTTTTGTATTATGATTATGCTTTTCTCTGCCTTAATAATGTCAAAAGTGGAATGCTCTATGGCTCGAATGGTCTAACAATGAAACTATTTTCTAGTTGCAAGACTGGAATAACAGGAGGGAGTTTACCTCCCCAAGTGATTTCAATGCCGATGGTGGCAGTGATACATTTATGTCTCAGGTAATTGTTCCTTTTGCAATCTTAGATATACAGAAATTATTATGTATTTACTGGCCATTATAATGTCCAATCACCAGGCAATGCTGGAGAATACAAGAGCTAATGACATTTTAAAACAAGCTCCTTTCTTGATTCCATTTACCAGCAGAGTTAAAGTACTTAATGTATGTGTTTCCCCCCACTATTATTTTTCATAATTGCGTTCTTAGTTATTGTTATGTGGCGGTTGAAAATGTCTGTCTGGATATATGTACAATTGATTTCTGGAGATAGTGAGTGAAAGGTAAATTGAATTTGCAGACACAATTAGCCAATAAGAAAGCAAGACGTGCTGGTGATCATCAGTTTTTCGCTAGAAACAGTTTCAAAATTAGAAGGGATCATATTTTTGAGGATGCTTTTAGCCAGTTAAATACATTAGCTGAAGAGGATCTTGGTGGAGTGGTGAGTTTTTCACTCTTGGATATTCTCTACCTTCACTTTCCAGTGTATATGCCTTTTGACTTTTAGAGCCTCTTGTGCTGATATAATGATGTTGAAATTTCTTTAAACTTACTGGCAGATATTTCTGTGCTTTAATGTGTTCAGATTCGCATCACTTTTATCAATGAATTTGGAGTCGAGGAGGCAGGCATTGATGGTGGTGGAATTTTCAAAGATTTCATGGAGAACATTACTCGAGCTGCATTTGATATCCAGTATGGACTATTTAAGGTTGTGATCATACATATTGATAATGATTTGCTCTTAGCTATGGCCTCTTCTTTGATGTGCATATAGATATTGGTATCTTAAGTGCTTCAGCTTACTAGTGTGCGTGAATGATATAATGAACTAATCAGCCTGAAGCACATTTTTAGGTTAAATTCAAAGTATGTAATCAACCTTTTTTCCAATATAGGCAACAACATTACTCTTTCCCATCTCTTGGATAAAAATATTAGTAGACTGTCGATGATTAGATAGCTTTAGGGTCAGAACCTACATTTCATATGCCACTTTTCCCTTTAAATCAATGTTTATTGACTTGGTCCCTAAATGATCAATTATAAACGAACAAACCAGGAGGCATTAAAATTATTATTTATCTCAGAGGAAGATATGTGTTTCCTGCTCTCTAAGTGTAACCATTGAACACCTCTAATCAATTTAATGGACAACATAGTTTACCTCAAACTGACCAATTATATGGATGTGATACATGTTTTGGTTTAAAATTATACAGTTTGACTATTGAACGTAGAGTATCGTGTTTTATATGGAAATGCATAATTATCTTGTTATTTGTTTGTAATTTATCCTATTCATGTCTAGGAAACGGCTGATCATCTTCTCTATCCCAACCCTGGATCTGGACTGATGCATGAGCAGCATCTTCAGTTTTTTCACTTCATTGGGACAATTCTTGCTAAGGTATCCGACTGTAGTTTATATATGACATGCCCAGTAATTTTTCAGTACTGCTGGGAATTACGTTCCGAGTCTTCATTTAGTATGTTGGAAGGAAGCCATTATTTCTGACCATGAAGATTGTATTTTTGCAAGCACTGCGATGGGATTTACGTTTATTTGTGAAAAATGCAAAGAAGCTGATCGAGAGGTTTTCATTTTATTTTCCTATCAGAAAAATATTTTGCAACAGTGAAGTCAAAAGAAGACAAAGTGGCTATTTATCTTGCCAGCTCATCTCCCTCTCAAAGGAAAGAAACATACATTGAAGAGTAATAAAAAAATGTCATTAAGCCTAACAACTAATATACCAGCTAGAGCAGCTAATATATCTGTCAACATATCTCAACGTTATAAATATGGCAAATTGGCAATCCATTCTAGCAGAGATGTTGATTTTTTGAATGTGCATTTCATACCAAAGCATACCAACTTATAGATATATAGAATAGTAATTGTGTTCAATGAACATTTCTGTTGATTGTTTACATGGAGCTCAGTTGAATAGAATCACACAACTGCTTCCTATAGTCTTGTTTTGCTGCCAAACATAGGCCTTTATTTGACGTGTTCCACGTTCAAGTTATGATGACAGTTGAAAAACGTCTAGTTATTGAAACTGATGGCTGTTTGTTTAATATGGATGCATCATTCTTCTTTCATGTTTTTCTTATTGGGAAGGATCATCATTACAACTTTTGCAAGTACATATTGACACACTGCATCAGTTCTCTAAATAAAGCCAAGTTCCTTGTATTCCTCTCTGTGCTTAAAACTTACGCCCTTCATGATATTTTTAGCATTGGCGTAACATATGCTATGTTTTATGTAGGCAATGCATGAAGGGATTTTGGTTGATATTCCATTTGCAACTTTCTTCTTAAGCAAATTGAAGCAAAAGTAAGTAGTTCTTTAAAATCATTGATTGCATTGGGGACAATTTTTTGAGCAATTGTGCCTTCAGTGAGTTTGGACTTTGGATGGGTCCTTATCTGCTTCATTGAGGTCATTTGTATTTTCTTCTTAGGTACAACTACTTGAATGATTTACCTTCCCTGGACCCAGAATTGTATCGCCATCTGATCTATTTAAAGGTGAAGTTTGTTATATTTTAGTTCCCATCTCTCTCTCTCTCTCTCTCTCTCTCTCTCTCTCTCTCTCTCTCTCTTTTTTTTCTTGTCTATGTATATCAATTTTTATTTATCAGAAACAAGTCGATTTTGCGGACACTTCCTGGTTGATAAAGTGAACTTTATTTTATTAAACTAGCCATGCGTTTCGTTGTCTTGTAAGTTGAATAAAATATCCAATTGATATTTGGTTTTTCATTTTATGGCTTTATCTGTGATGATTTGCAGCGTTATCAAGGTGACATATCTGAATTAGAGCTGTACTTTGTAATTGCTAACAATGAATATGGGGAGCAAACTGAAGAAGAGCTTCTTCCCGGAGGAAAAAATATCCAAGTCACGAATGAGAATGTTATAACATTTATACATCTAGTAGCTAATCATCGATTGAATTTTCAGGTACTAAAACAGTGTCAGAAATTTCGGTTATAATTATTCAAATCTCCTATCACACCAAGTGCCGAATAACCAAAAAAAGATTAGATGACATGCGGAGTACGATCACTGTTCCAACAAAAATAAAATATCAATTAATGTGGAAAAAACTATTCAAAATGATACGATGGTGCTGAAGGAATTGCCTTTATAGAGATGCAAAAAAGAATTGATATGTGTAGAGTTACAAGCTCTTTAAAATCTTGTAAAATTACTCATTAATGTTCTATGCAGATACGGAAACAAAGTTCTCATTTCCTGAGAGGTTTCCAACAGCTGATTAATAAAGAGTGGATTGACATGTTTAACGAGAACGAGCTTCAGGTATTCTTGTGTTCAATTAGACAATAGTAATGCTTTGGTAGTGATGATGGGCTCTGTAAGTAAGATTATTTAATTTTGCTTTAGTCAAATGTGTGATAAACATTTTTCTTTCTTACACTTGCCAACCTCAGTAGCCATACTTGATAAGGGATTGCAATGGAGTCTTGCTTCATTAACAGAAACTGAATTAAGGAGACGAAATATTAAAAACTTCACTGACACTGGAAACTGAAATCCTTGAATAAAGTGCACATCTCTTACCCATTTTTGTCTTTTTCCATTTTGGGAATCATCTCCAAAGTTGAATGTTAATATGCTTAATGCATTTACCTACAATTTTTGTATGTACACATAAAGACTGGTTCCACCTCTATACTGGCTTGGATGTGCACTGTTACCACTTTTACGTAAAAGCTTTGTTTTCATTGTCCCAGCTTCTAATATCTGGATCTGTCGATGGATTTGATGTCAGTGATCTCAAAGCTAATACTAATTATGGCGGTGGATATCACAAGGTAGGATGTGTAGTGTTCTTGTGTAGTTTGCTTTCTCAAATTAAATTGTGGCCTCTCTTCTTGAAATATTAGTATTCGGCAGACTGGCCTCCTAATTCATTTCTTATATATATATATATATATGAGTTTTTCATATCTTTCTAAAATATCTGTGCCAATAAATTATTTTGGCAGGATCACTATGTGATTGGAATGTTCTGGGAAGTTATTGAGAACCTTAGCCTGGCAAATCGGAGGAAAATTTTGAAGTATGACCATATCATCTTTTGCTGTTAAGAATTTTGCTTAAGATATGTGTGAAATATGCAGCAGAAGCAACATAACTTGGTCATAATTTGTAAGATATGATTATTAATATGGTCTAATAGTCTTATACACCATTCAACAGCTCACACTTCTAAAAAAAATTTGCAGCATTGTTTTTTTTTTTTTT